ACATCTGACGGTATGAAGCGTCTGCTCATAGGCGTCAATTAGCCGCGTTTGTAGAGTGGGCGGACAGTTTGTTTCCTCCGAGTTGAATTGACATAAAGTTGATAAGTCACATCAAATAGCCTCATGGAGACGTCAAATCAATTTAAGCCTTAGGTGTAGGACAAATCTCAAATTGGCGGCGGATCTTCTAATCAGGGTCCACTTGATCTCGACCTCGGAGGTGAGATGCTTCGGCAGATCAGTAGTAGGAATCACTATATCACTTCGGAGAAGCTTTGGAAGGGTCGTTTTCAGGTCGGAATAAATGGTGCTGCGGAGGGTCCACTTGATCTCGGCCTCGGAGGTATGACACTTCGGTATCAAGACGTAAATAATCGGGGCATAACAATATTAATTGCTGGAGCTATCTCAAATGCCCTGAAATCTGTCGACCTCTATTTGGAGCAAAATAATCTTAAAATGTGTGTTGAGGTAGAGTATTAATATTTTAGGTTTAATTATTCTAGTTCTTAGACTGAAAATTCGAAACTTCTAATTTCATAAATCATGTGGATCGTCAACATTCTAATATCTTGATTTAGCCTGCCTAAATATAAATGTTGTTTAATCGCTCCTAATTAACTCCAAGTATATAACTTTGGGGAAAGTTCTCTCTCTTTGCACATATGCCATTTTTTATTGTCACGTGTGATCCAATACTGCGAATGTGCAATTGCATCAGTGTGACTGGATACGCTTTGTGTATTTGTTACTCAATTTATTAAATTATTTTCTCTTCACAATTATTGAAACATTGGCTTCGGTACACAGTCAAACTGTTAATTCTTTTGACCAATATATTATGTTCATATGATAAGTTATTACTTAGTTTGGTATTCATTAAAGTTAGATGAAAAATTTATTTAAATTATATGCAATAGCTTTACTGGTCAACAATAGGATGTTACAAAAAATATGAAGGTCATATTTTTTATCCATGGGGAGTGGAGATGGTTTGAATCGATCACATTGGGACGTTACAAGGATGAATCAAACTTTGAATCTGACAAATTCATTGCTTGTGAAGTATGTAGTGCGTATGAGATATTATCCCTTCAGGACCAAAACTTCTTGTTTAAGCGGGGGTGAATCCAACAACTAAAAGAAAGATTGATTCATTGGGATCGTTCCTTTCTTCAAACGGATGGAATAGAAGTAGTAGCCTTTCTTTCCATAAACTTGTTCGAATCGATACTTATTTGAATAAATCATCACGCAGCAAATCAACAAACCCCAAATTGTTGTCTCTTTCCCCTTCAAGTTTACCTACTACACCATTGATATCAACACATCTGAGATTGCCCAATGTTTGGGAGTTCCTCTATTGAATCCCAACAAGCAGGTCTAGATTCAAATTCTCTTTTGCTATAGCCGAACATGAGGGAAAGATCGTTCATACCGATATTGAAAAGATCCTTTTCGAGCATATTTATTGAAACAAATATGATCATCTCGATAAGTTATTCCCTCCATTTATCCCATTGTTGATTGGAAATAGGAAAAATAAATTTCCTTCCTAAGGAAACAATGCTACTCAAGACTATAGTGGATTCATATGATTTCTCTTACTAAACCTGCTGCTTTAGCATTATAAATTGTGTTGTTACTCTTGCTTTTGTTGGGATAAATCTGCCCCTTCCCCTGTTCTCAGATGATGAGATTCCATTGATATAGAGTCAATTCCGATAGACAAATTGGAGGGCCCCATTGGAGTGCATTCCTTTCTTATCTCTTGTACACGTCGAGCCCTTTTTATCCTTGGCCCACTGAGACGTATAGGACTGGTTCACGCTCACCAAAGTCTTTCAGAAGAGTCCATCATACAAAAACTGGATTAAATAAATCAAATACGTGCACAAAGATATAATGGATGATAATTGAAAAATCTGTAGAAATATGAGATTCAAAACTTCGAGGTGCTAGGTTGGTTTCAGGATCTTAAAGTGCATGGTCAGCGTTTCCAACCCCTTTCCTCTGTCTAGCATTGCACACAGTTATAAGTATTTGATTTGTTTAGCTCAATTCTCACATTGTGCATATGCCTCTATATGCACGTTAAAATTTAGTTGTATACTTTGGTAATTGAACACTTCTCTTCTGCTTGAAGATTGAAACCAGGACGCTGCTGGAAGTTATTGAGGTATTGCATTATGCATCCCAAAGGAAGACGTCTGTGACTAAGATAATGCTGGATAATATGGTTGTCCCCTTGTCTAACAGGGATCTTGATGTATCAATGCTTAAAGAAGCTGTGGAGTTGATTAATGGAAGATTTGAGACTGAGGTAATCCTTCATTGTATTTTTCGTTTCTTTATTATCTCAATTGCAGGACTCCCTAAAGAACCATCATTCTTTCTAATACTTAGTTATCGGTCTGGTCATCATCTTATCCACCTATACTCTGACCCATTCCTCTGTCTGCCTTGCAATTGTTAAAATTCTCCTTTGTTTTTCTTGGAAATAAACAAGAATCTGCATAACTAACGAACAATGAAAAAGTGCTTCCTGGTTTACTACTAAAGCTCTTTTTATTGGATAAACTTTCTTGTTTTTGGTGAAAGGTTGAAATTCTCAATGATTTGCTTGTCTTACATACATCCGAATTGGGTATTACTATTATCCTGGAAAAGCATCAGATGGCCAGCTTGAAATCTTGAGGTCCTAAAGTTTATTATCCTAACTGGAAGGATGATTATGTTGGACGTATTTTGCTTCCAAAGGATCCGTCATCATAGTTTCTATGACTGCTAAAATATAGTTAATAAAAACATCTGTTGGTAGAAAAGCATTGCTTCCAACAATTGTGTATTTTGCGTTGGTTACTGTGGCATTAAAATTGAGAGCTTAAGGAAGTAAATACAATTTCAAGGTTTTATAAGAGTTTGTCATATAAAGGTACTTGTGTACATGTTTCAACTGAGAAGCACTTCGTTGCAAAGTTGCCTGTGATTAGACCTCGTCACGCCATTTTTTGTAAATCTAATCCATGTCACAGCATGCAAATTCTGTAAAACTGGTAGAATCGGTATTTCTTGAGCTGAAAGCTTCTGAATTGGGTGCATTTGGTTCAATGATGACCATTAGCAGAATAATGAAAATGCATATATGTGCTGCAGAAACAGCATCTTATGATCTAATATTCACTGCATTACTTTTCCCCTTCTCTGAGGGTTCACTGAATTCAGGACAGATTGTTTATGAATTATTTTAGACATGAACAAAGACAATGGCAAAAAAAAAATATAAGCATCAACGGGAGAGTGAGAAGGGTGTGAAGGATGATTCCTGCCTCGCTGTCTTGCAAGGTGAATAGAAGCAAGGACAATTTACTAAAGTTTTTATCATATGAACTTACGAATGCCACCTCATCTCTTCCCTGTCATTATTCTTGTCTTTGCTTCCAAGCAAATTTTGTTATAATTCATAGCATGCAGTCATATCTTATTTGTTACCATTTGTGTGGCTTTTTAAGATTGCGTAACCTGTATTCTAGCATGTGTTTAATTGCTTCTTTTGGTGCAGGCATCTGGAAATATTACCCTTGACACCGTAAACAAGATTGGACAATCCGGGGTGACCTACATTTCTAGGTGATAATATAAGCATCAACGGGAGAGTGAGAAGGGTGTGAAGGATGGTTCCTGCCTCGCTGTCTTGCAAGGTGAATAGAAGCAAGGACAATTTACTAAAGTTTTATCATATGAACTTACGAATGCCACCTCATCTCTTCCCTGTCATTATTCTTGTCTTTGCTTCCAAGCAAATTTTGTTATAATTCATAGCATGCAGTCATATCTTATTTGTTACCATTTGTGTGGCTTTTTAAGATTGCGTAACCTGTATTCTAGCATGTGTTTAATTGCTTCTTTTGGTGCAGGCATCTGGAAATATTACCCTTGACACCGTAAACAAGATTGGACAATCCGGGGTGACCTACATTTCTAGGTGATATTTATTAATATGTACTTTCCCTATAATTATTTTATTCCCATGGTTACATGTCTTCTATTTTTATTTTTATTTTTTTAAATTGAAAGGAGAATTTTAAGGGTGTGCAAAATGCCAGAGAGTTCAAATTCCGGACAGGCTGGTTTAGTTTGGTTCATAATGGAAATATAAAAATAAAATGTGATTTAAACCAAGACCTTACTACTTCATTCCGTACTTGAGTTCAACAAAGAACTGGAGAACCACAATGGCTAACCAGTTCGTCATTTGTTTTCATTTTTAGCCTTTCACACACACACACACACACACACACACACATATATATATATATATATGTTAATTGGTGGGAAGATCTAATTTCAATGCACCTGCCCACAGCTAATCTAGCTTGTTTTCCAATGGCTAAATTGCTAGATAATTTCACAAAGGCGTTACTGATGTGATAACTAATTCCTTTACGTAATTGAAATACATCAAGTGCCACATCAAAAAAAATATTGGTAAAAGAACCATTGGGGTTTAATTCACTGCCTGATTGTTAGGGACACTGAATGGGTTGGTGGTGCAGGAGCCTTGCCCCCGCGGTACGATACAAGGTATTTCTTGTACGAGCCTTAAAGTCTTGTATGAGCCTGAGTTAGTATAAATAATAATGTTTGTTATCCCTTTTTTTATACTGAATGAAATTATCTCCGCTTCACTCATGTGGACATAGGCACATCATCGAACAACGTAAACATTTGTATTGATTTCTCTATTTTATCTCTTTATTATTGCACATAAAATCCAACAACATTTTTAGAAATCTACGAGTGCTATCCATCACTCATTTCTATCTATTTACAATTAAACAGTTTAACACTTCCAAACATGCTCTTAGAATTGCAAATCTTATTCCTAACAATAATGCCTTCCAATTCAATTGTACTTTGCAATTGAACATAGTCACGGTTGAACATATGGATTCATGTTGTAATTCACTTTGTAATTTTTCCATGTTTGCAGTGGTTCTCTGACACTGTGAAAGCACTCGACGTTTCCCTGAAAATCGACACGGAGCTATCACTTGAAGTTGGGAGGCGTACAAAACAAGCATGATGATATTCTATTCACGCAAAAGACAAAGTAAACCATGTATCTCTTCTCTCGGATTAAAAGGATAGGGGACTGCCGAAAAATATGAGGTGCAAATTATCTCCCTTTCCTCTAGGAAATGCCATCCAAGAGACCATATGTTAGATTGTGCTCAAAACAATGAAATGTGAACTTGTGATTGACAGGCAAACAACTTATCAAATGAGCTGTAAAAATGTAAGTTCCTTGCTGTTTGGGATTTCTCTTGGTACCTTTTTAGAAATACTGAGCCAAATCCTGTTTTACCAAAACAAAGGTTTAAAAAGAAAAAAGGATATGTGCAGAGACCGATCGATTTCTAGGTTTCGTCATAAACCTAATTGGTTACTTCCAATTACGTAAATCATACATATTTACTTGTATGAAATTGTTTGTCATGAATAAGAATTGGCAATTTGGGAAATTCTCTATTCTTTTGTTGTCATCACAGAGAGTTTTGTGGTCTGCCAAATTGTATTTGTGTCGACTAGTAAAGTTGTACTCGAATAGTTTTGAAGGATAATTGGACGTCACTGTTAATTATTCAATAAATGAAGAAAAATAATTGGATTGGATGGACAAGATAGTATTAAAGAAGAAAAAGGATTAAGGTTTGTTTATATAGACTTTTAAGGGGGGAAATGAATAAAACTACTTGCCGAGAACATTTGAGTTATGTGCATGGTATGCTAGATTTGACTTGACAAGATGGGATTAAGGATTAGAGACGTTAAATATTTGTCTATCCATCACATACCCGATATTTATGAAAGGCTAGTTGTTCAACTTATGTTATGCTTGGAGATACTCCGTGCACTGGTATGGCGTCGTGGCCTGTATTGTTTCTGTTATTAACCAGCAACCCTACAAAAAAATTGATACCACTGTAACTATTCCTAGGCTGCTGCCATCTTTATTCTTGATTTTTTGCTTGTGTAGAAGTGGGTAACTGAGTTGGTCTAATGGCCCTAAGTAAACGGCAAAGCCACTACTTGTTTTGAGTACGAATGGATCCTTTCGTGTGTGGCATTGATTGGGCTAGATAGGCTGTACGTGGTGTAGTATTATTGTGACAAGTTTGCTTTTGCCCTTTTAATTTAATTCTAAGGAATTGAAGTCAAGTTTGGTAACTAAAAGGCTTATTTGATTGTAAGTATGAAATTTGTATGAAAATAAAATAAGTTTTTGACAGTAGACTGTTTTGAATTTATTTGCACGAAAATTATCAATTAAATGTGTTTGATTGACTTAACTTTTAATTTAGAAAATATTTTGCTTTTTCATAAAGTTGGGTTTTTTGGAAAGTTTGAATTGTCTAAAAAATAAAAATTTACCCTCTTTCATAAAAAAAAAAATTTCATTGTTTTCGAGAAAATATGGTTAGGTGACCAACTTCTAGAAAATATTTTTTTCAGGAAAAAATGTTAATCAAATACTTGAAAATTATGAACTTGACAAAAGTGTGACATTTTTCAAGAGAAATAAAAATCAGTCAAACACTTATTTTCTTATGTTATTGAGGCCCTAATTTCAACTAGTCTAAGAACTTAAACGGTAAGAAAAAGATAAATTTATGTATTTAAATTTTGTACCGAGCAGTATATAAAAATAAATAGTAATTATATCATGCTCAGCGCATAATTTTTCACTTTTTACGCTACAAAAGTTGCCCCCATGATGTGACTTTTACCATTATCATTGCGCCCCTTGTCGTCTTGTAATTTTATTTCTTAAAAGATATTATTGAGGTGGGTAATAAAATTAGGGGGAAAAATGGTAAATTTAATCCATTGTTAGTCTTTTCTAATTATTTGCAACATGTCCTAATAATCTACACATTTCTTAATCGATGTCATGTAAGAATCCAAATCATAGAAAGGTGAGTCGAACAAAATTACGAAAGGCAATAACTTATCTATTGTTAGCCTTTAATCGATTAAAAAAAATAAGTTTACTTTGGATTGATTATTTGATCGATATCGAGGTCCAAATACCCTCCCCTTAGTCCTAACCATTCTATAATTTCTTAATTGATGTGATGGAAATGCCTTAGTAAAGTGGGAAGAAAAAATTTGAAAAAGCAAAAATTTCGTCTAATATTCATCTTTTTCAATATTGTATAACATGTCCTTTTGATTCTATACATTTCTGAGGAATTGCTGACATTGATTACAGTAAGGTGGACAAAAAAAGGGTAAAATTCTTGTCTATTACAATTTATTTTTTTATTTTTTCAGTTTTTGCATAACAATACCTAATGATTCCATACATATCTTAATTAATGTGATGGAAGTTCTCACATTATAAAAGGGTGGCCCAAACAAAATTAAAAAAAGAAATAAAAATTTTATCTACCATGTTTGGTATACATTCTATTCGACAACCTTTTTGATATTGGACAGTTTTCTTTTCTTTTCTTTTTTTCTATTTAAAACTATTTTTCGTCCCATAATTTTTTGACAACACTTTTTTGTCAATAAAATGGTAAAAATTAATGTACAAATAGAAAATTTCAAATTTTATCTATTATCGATTTTGCTACTTGTGCATCAAAATTGTACAAAAGGGTTATATAATATGATGTGGAGGAAAAAGATCGATGAAAAAGTTGACTGAATTTTAAACAAACAAATGATAGAGTAACATATAACACATATGTTATCTTTGATGTATATATAGTAAGATCTATATTTTTTATATTGCGTTAACATGTCCTGATGATTCCAAACATTCTTGATCGATAAGATAGAAATGTCAGTGTGCTCCAAATTTTATGTTTATGTGATTCATACTACTCCGAAATTGCTATTGGATGTTAGTAGAGAAACAAGGTGGCAGAGTCAAATCAAGTGGCTAAGTAACCTACAAAAAAGGGATCGGGCTTCCTCTTATGTTTTACCTCCTCCAGTCCTCCCTGATAATCAATCAAGAGATATGATTTAATAAGCAATGATGCTTAAATTATGTTAAAGTATTGAAAACATGATAAGTCAATTTCTGTGGATAAGTTTATAGCAGGTCACAATAAATATGTTATTTACCAATGTATTAATGCAACATATCATCAATATTTAATAGATAATTTCTCTCAATATATGTATATTTGAACATTGTATATACTTTAATTTCATAAAGTATGTAAGATACTTGATAACACCGAGGTTCCTATCCACGTGTCATTCTTAAAGGCCAGGAAGGCACACGTTTCAATCCTTAAAGTCATTGTGCACGTACGGTAGATATCTTGTTATTATAATGATCAAACAATCTTCACATGGAGAACTTCAAAACCTTTGTCACACACCTAATAAATGGTTGATTGACTAGATCGATCGATCGACCATCAATATCCCCTAAGAGACCAATCTCTCATGGGTTCTCCATTCTTAACTGAGTGAGTTGGTATCCTTACTTTGGAGGCCATTAACCACGAGCATGCCAATCAACTAGCTACCTAATTTCAACATTATTGTGTAACATAGATCATGTTCTCATTTTTTTCTATTTAAAAGTTTGGCATGACTTTTGAAAATGAAAGGCTACTTTTGAGCTCGTCGGAATGATTTTTTAAATGTATTTTGTCTTATTAGAAGAACTTTTGAAAAAATTAATCTAATTGGCTTTCGTCTATAAAAAGTAGAAGCAAAAATAGAAACTATCAAAAAGACACCATAAATATTACTTGTAACATCAGTGATGAACCCCTTATATGATGAACTCAGATCATATAGGCTATACAACCTACACTTGAAACATTCAAAATGAAGAATTTTTCGAGGTTGGTTGATCCGATTTGAATACAATTATTTGTCGGCTCGATAAATTGGAAGAAAATTTTTTTAAATTTTATTGCATGTTGTTCTTTGTATATCCTTATGGTGCATTTGTTGTCAAACCTTTTCAAGACGGAAAATAAGCGTTTAATGCGAAAACACCAACCCAAAATAGATGTGGGATGAAAATGTTTCTCAAGTTTGAAATAGAATGTATTCCCAAACAAAGGAAAGGTAATCGAACAAGAATTTTGATGTGCACACGCAAACTATGCTGATTGTCCTCTTAATGATATAACCTCGTTCTTTATATGAACAGTGCTTTTTTGTATTTATTTTTATTTTTTTTCCTTTTTATTATTGTGATTTATGCTAGGCTGGTCCAGTAAATGTAGTTATTTTGCCTTATTTTTCGATTCATTTAGGTAAATAGGCAATATATGTGATTTAATCAACAAAAAAAAGTTAATTCGAGATAATAGTGGAAGCAAAAGTTGAAATCGTGAACAATATATAATTTATGTATCATTTATTTATTTCTTTTATATATCTTACTTTACATTATTTAAGTGAAAATTTTAATATATATATATATATATATATATATGGGAGAAAAGAATAATATATATTCAAAATGAGCTTCTTTTATAGGTCCTAATATACTATTAATGGTTTGACTTTCAAAAGTAGAGGGATAAACTTGATGGAGATGTTTAGCATGTCCTTTCTAATAAAATTAAGGTTTGGCACACTTAACACCAACTAAAAGTATTATTTTCGATCTTATACTTGGTACACTTAACACCAACTAAATCCTAAAATCGTGAATATAATATAATTTATGTATCATTTATTTATTTCTTTTATATATCTTACTTTACATTATTTAAGTGAAAATTTTAATATATATATAAAATTAGAAAGTAGATATATGAATTATTAGATTTCCACACATTAGAAGCCACCCAATGTGATAAAGGGCGAATGAAAAATATTTTTCATGGATTATAGGAGGGGCAACGTAAAATGTAAACAAAGGAAGTTTGGGCCTTATCAAGTAAAATAAATGCATTTGTCAAATTAAATCTCATTCATATTTGATTAAGCTGGCTCAAATCTTTCTTAGCTACAAGTCTTCTAGGTTTATGGATGTCAATATCCAGAATTGTAAGTGTCATCATATTAACATGCATCTAGATAATGCTGTCACTTCCATCACAACGATTGAGAAATTTATATAATTATTATGACATAATTTGTAGTTACATGATACTATACAAATTAGTGGTATAATTAGTAGAGATTTACAAGTATCCATCTGTATATTATTCAAGATATATTCGCTGTAACAACTTAAACTGCTTAGCGTCAATCTGGGAGTGATACTTCGCAAATAATAACCAAACATTTGCAGAATTAATTATGTTAGGAATTAAGGACAAGAATATATGGCACAATATGAAGTTGCAATCACGATACTAGAAAAACAAAAGTATAATTGATAGAGAAATGAAGAATTTATTAATATGGAAAAAAATATAACAATATTATGTTTACAATATTGTGTAACTCTATAGAACTCATACAAAATCACATGCAAGAAAAGAAATTTGTGAAGTACGTATGTAGAAGATCCAAAAAATATGTTTTAAATAGAAAGTTAATAAAAATGAGCCAGAAAAACGAAAACAAAACTTTTTCAAATAAGAGCGATAGCCTCACGCCAAGCGAGCATCAGCCCAACATTGCTAATTAATGGCACTCAGGTGCTGAGTCTCGATTCCAAAACCCCTTTTTTGGCACCTAGGTGTCCAATTGCTTGAAACTTTTAGTTGCTAACTTTGATTCCTCCTTAACTACTTTTTCAACCGAAACACGAACTAATGTTGGAATTTGGGTGGCATATTCGACAAATCTCCATCTTGACACAAATTTAACTACAAGGAATATACCAATGTACCTTCATTCCCAAAAACTTTTTCAACAAAAAAATTCTCTATCTCTTCCACAAAGTCCATCAAGGACCAATTCAATCAACCGAATCCAAGCATTGCTCAGCAAGATTACTTCGGGTACCAAGGTTGATTGAATTATCACCACAAGCAATAAGATCACAAGTAATTCAACAATAATTACCAAACAGGACAGAGTCACACCCTCTAATAGAATTTATACTACAAATTGCTTCTGTCAAAGATTCTTTGCTAGATTCAATATCTTCAATCATATTTAAAGCATATGCAATTAAATCAGTTTTATCGTACCTTTGTGGAGGCATAATATCTCTCCTGAATCTGTCTTTAGCAAC